GAGTTCAGGTTACCATAGGAAAACGATTCGCGGCGGTAGTAACAGATCCACGTTTCTCATCCAACGCTAATGTCGATAAATATGGGCGACCAGTGAAACGGACTCCAGGTAGATTTCTGCTCCAAATTTTTCTTTTGCTCAGTTATATCGTTACTTATGCAGGTGATTTCTTGGATCTATATACTCTGGAAGATAGTGATGAGGAAGACGAAGAAGACAAAGAGTTGCCTTTCAAGAAAGTGAAAATAGCGAAGAGTGTAGGGCAACGCAAAAAAACGGAAGACGAGGAAGAGCGAGTAGCGGGAAGTGATGACGAAAACGAAGAAGTAGATGAGGCAGGCAGCGACGATGACCGACCCATAAAAGTATCCCAGTGCTACTCTACGTGTGTAAGATTTTTTGATGTGCGTGTGTTATTTTCAGCTAGATCTGGCTCGCGGTGAAGGGAATGTTGAGTCGTCTTCGGACGAAGACGAATCGGATTCTGAGTCAGAATGGCAAACAAATGAAAATCTAGAAATGGAGATTGATCTAGCACATCTAGATGAGTAAGTTAATTCATTGTCTATCTGTGGATTTAATACAACATTTGACACTTTTAGTAGCTACTTTTTTAAAGTTATTTGAGAAAAGTTTAAAAAATGAAGACACGCTTTTATGTCTCTCTGTTCACTCAAGCATTGAATTGGCTTCAAGGCAAATTTCGGAAAATTTCCAACTCGGTTTTTCGCAATTTCTAAACCATTTTTGTGCGCTGAACATAGATATTATCTCTATCACCCGAAATTGTCTAGAAAAAAACAGGGATTTCGAGCTATTTCTGGACTGTCGGGATGACTGCAGCGGCATGATTTCAACTTCTCGACTTTTGGTTACTCGCATGCCTCTCTGGCTAAAAAGCTTTTTCAAGAGAAGCTAAACATGGACTGTGTTTAGCGGGAAAATCGCTGAGTAGGGAGATGACCTAATCGTTCTGAGTTCTCCCTTCATGCGGCGGATTACTCCCCTGAATCTGGGAAAAAAGCGTTGCCAAAGTTGGCCATAATTATCTGTTTGGAACTGAAAAGTCTTAGTTTGCTCGGATATTTTAGTTAACACGTCAATTCACAGAGATGCAGAACAAGTCGAATGGGCGACAAGTCGAATTGCGGCCTGCAATATGGATTGGAACGTAGTACACTGTGAAGATCTCATGGTACTCAGCAAATCCTTCACGTAAGTGTTTACGGTTGTCGGAACAGTTCCTTAAGTTTTGGTTTAAGCTAATGATTACTCACTTTTGTGATGAGAAACGTCGCTTTATTCTTATAGGCCTCCGGGTGGTTCCATAAAACGAATCACGATATATCTGTCAGATTTTGGAGCAGAGAGATTAGCTGAAGAAGACAAACATGGTCCTCGGTTACAGCTTAGCAAGCCTTTGGAAGAGTATGAAGGAGATAAGATTGATGAGTGAGTGTACTTTTTTGTTAATGTGGCAATTCTCATTCCTCCTTTTGTTCCAGAGAAACAAAATTAGCGATGCGAAAGTACCAGGTCGACCAACTACGATATTACTACGCAATTATAGAATGCGACTCGACAGAAACTGCAGTTGCAATTTACGATCAGTGTGATGGTTATCAGTTCGAGGCAAGTGATATCAAGATGGACTTCCGTTTTGTACCGGATGGCATGGAGTTTGATGTGAGCTCAGCGATTGCATTAAAGTTGTTCAGCGTCAACAAAGTTTTTTTTT